TTGGCATGCATATTTTCCAGTGAGACAGACTGGGACAAGAAGACCATTTTATTACAATTTGTCAGAATATTCAGACAAAAGAGGTTCCTCTCATTCAAAGAAGGAACCCTGATCCTTAGCTTACATCCCCTTTTATAGTTAACAAAGAAAAAAACAAAAGAGGAAAGTTGATTGGACAAGATAAAAGTAAATCCTCCATTGCACAGTAAATCAACCATAAATGTTGTTTGAAGTTAGATAACCAAATGCCAGCTGACACTAAAACTTTTTCTTATCAGGAGATAGTATCCAGCCATCCTTTTACAACTTATCTTTTCAGTGTAGGGATGTTAGAAGCTATCTAATCAATCCACACAGCCATAGGATAAGAAGTCTAAAGGTGTTATCACCATGTTAAAAGAGAGAAAAGTGAGTCAAATGAAAATGCAAAGTATGTTTAAAATGCAAAGTAAAATGCAAAATAACTGTCTGCTAACAAATTACAAAGCCATGTCATGTGCTCCTCAGTTGCTAGTATTAATCAATGAAATTTTTATTACTTAAATTTATTTGCCGTCTATTTTACTATGGGGCTGTTCTGGGGGGGCAAATAATAAATAATAGTGACATAATGTCCAGAAGGTCACAAAAGGTGATTGCATGACCCTGGGACACTGCAACTGTCATAAATATGTGCTAGTTGCCAGGGCATGTGAATTTTGATGATGTAACCATGTGGATGCTGCAATGGTCATGTGAAAAATGGTCACATCACTTTTTTCAGTGCTGTTGTAACTTCAAATGGTCACCAAACAAATTGTTGTAAGTTGAGGGCTACCTGTACTATATTCAAAGTGGAAATTTAACAATGAACCTACCGAAGAAAAGAATTCAGAAGCCTAAATGTAGCTGCCAAAATGGTTCTCTCTCTCTACTCCCCGCAAATGTCTTTCTATGGACCCCTAAGAACATTAGATTTTGTGAGATTAGGAATCATAAAATCATTTTAGTATGGAGCAGGATTCATATGGACAATTTCTTCATCCCTATCACAGGGGTTTAATGGTCACAGAACTCTGAAATGAATGCAGAACAAAATAGAATACCTGTGTTGAAATTTTATGAAGATTGTAATTTATTTATTTGTTAATATCCTTCCTGTACTTAGATGCCATCCACAATCTGGCTGATGCATTCTGGACCAAGATCAGCTTCTGTTTCAAGGGTACTGTAGTATTAGTAGTAGTAGTAGAAGAAGAAGAAGCAATAATAAGCATCTTGGGTGCAATTTATTTATTTAACAATATTTATATGGCTGCCAAACACACTCTCAGTGACTTCAATAGCTTACAAGGATAAAATTCCAATTCCAAAATATTTGGGAGCACCACTTGAATACTGTTGATATTGACAAAATCACCATCAGTCAGTTGCAAAAGGCAGCTTTACTTGGAACAGTAAAGTCCTGTGACAATACTTTTAACACCTTCATCATCGACATCGGCCTATCTCAGGTTCTTGGGAAAACTTTATAGGTGGATAAAAATGCCAAATCCAGTCTAAATGTTTGGCTTTCAATGAGACCAATTGTAATATTTTGTTCAATTTCTATGCCACCTGTCTCTCAGTGACTCTGGGCAATTTATAATTCTTAAAACATCTAAAAAAAAGAACAATGTAAAACAGAACAAAAGAATAAGAATGAGGGAAAAGATAAACTCAGAGGGAAACAGAAAGGAAGAAAGAGGCACCAATCATCCTCTCCAAAGGAAGTAAGTATAATAATCCATAGATGATAAAACCTCAGGTGTCTGCAGGAATAGGTGTGCTTGAAGCTCCCACCGGTGCTTGTCAAAATGCCCAGCCATGCCACAACTTAGGCATTGTAGGTCAAGGCTACTGAACCAAGAAAATTTCCCAGCTGCAAACAATTGAGTCTTCAATCCATACAAGTAGTCCTCTACTTACAACCATTCATTTAGTGACCATTGGAAATTACAGTGGCATTGAAAGCAGTGACTTATGACCGCTTTTCACCTTTATGACCATTACAGCATCCTCATGATCAAAGTGATCAAAATTCAGAGACTTGGCAACTGGCTTATACTTATGACAGTTGTGGTGTTCTGGGGTCATGTGATCACCTTTTGTGACCTTCTGACAAGCAGTGTCAATGGGGAAGCCAGATTCACTTAACAACTGCAGTGATTCACTTAACAGCTATGGCAAGAAAGGTCATAAAATGGGGCAAAGCTCACCTGTGGTTGTAAGTCAAGAACAACCTGTATTCAGCTCTTCTGGCCAAAGGCACCTGGCTTTTGAGGCCATTCTGTTTGTTTGCCCAAATTCAGATTGCTGTCTTATATATAAGTACATTATATATGTACATAATGAGTGTTAACAATGGCATTCAGGATCTGCCAGAAAAAAAAGGGAATTATTTTAATACATTCTGCTTTGACTGCGTTTTTCTCAATCATCCTTCCTTGCAGAGTGACAGTTCTTTTTAAATAAAGAACTGCCACCCTGCAAGGAAGGATAGTTGAGAAAAACCACAGAGAAACAGTGTTTTGTTTTTAAATCCCGTTTGAATACTATATAAATACTGTTATTTGCAACAGCAGTAATACTGAATTAACGTCCACGAACCCTAAGAGGCATCTTGAGTGGGCATGAAATAAAATATAGACGGAAACCAGAATAATGCTTCAAAAAAATCCCCCGCCAATAACTTTGAAATAAAGGACCCGTATTAAATTCTTTAAGGCTGTTGCCGAATAAAGCCGTTTTTCTTAACGAGGGTCGCGCACAAGCGGCACTTGGGGAGCCGACTGAGTTAAAATAGTAGAGATAACAAGATTTCTGCTGCCTAGAAAGGACCCAGGAGGAAGTACGGATGGAGAAGGGTCTTAATCATGAAGGGACCTTCCTGTTCCAAGCGGATCTCTATAGCTAGGCATCTAGCAGCCTCCCCGTGCCCACTCTTTAATGAAAACAAAGCCAGTGGGGGACACGTCAGGGAGGGCACAACCAAGTAACAAGGTTTGACATGGCTGCGCTAGCAGTATCTCTCTGGACAGCCTGAGGAGAAGATGAAAGGGCTTGTGGACATGTGGGAATCAAAAGAACAACCTGGTCAGGAAATTGTAATGACAGCAAACTGGGGATGGGAGAGAAACTAAGGTGGAAAGCTCCAGTCCATTCTCGTTCGCTGTATTATTATTTTTTAATTGTCAAAATAGCCTTCGTTTGTTAGAGGAATGGCTTTGAAATAAAAAAAAAATCGAATGATTTTGGTAAATACTGTTTTTTTTTTTAAATCTATCCTTTCAAACTGAGGAGGAATGTGGTTGTTATAAGGAATAGAAATCTTGTTTCAAATGGTTGAGAATTGTGAAATACGTCTACACTGTAAAATGTAAGGGAACTTGAGCGTGCGAAGAAATTCTAGCAAATATGTGCATGTGGGAGGGGGGAGAAAATAATTTGGGGGGCTCTGGAGACTCAGGCGCTTTTTTTTTTTTTGGAGAAAGAATTTCACAGACATCTGTATTCCTCATGCTAAAGAAATCTGGGTTTTTCCCCCCAGAACCAGAATCCCTCAGAGCTAATTGTTGCAATTTTCCCACATGGAAAGTGGAAAACCAGCCTATGTTCTGGACCTCCAAGATTGTGAAAGAGAGACATTAAGAGGTGAGGAATAAATAATGTATTTCGCTCAGTAAGTGTGTTGTGAACTTGGAATTCTTATTTCAGATTTGCTTTTTGTCATTAAATGCCCCTAGCCTAGTCACAATTTCTTAATAGCTTTTTAAAAATATATTTATATTGGGCATATAAATATATCTCTTTATTTCAGCTCTACCATAGAAGAATGTTGACATAGATCTTAGATTCTGATAACAAGATTTAGTTTAAGTCTTATCTTTTAAATGTAAAGGTACTTCTAAGTTTTAATCATTGTATTTGCTTTTAATATATTGCTGCTTAAACATGTTTTATTGGGGCTGCTGCTTTTATTATGTTAAATATATGTATGTATGTATTAATGTTTGTGCTCTGTTTCAATTGTTTTATAATGTAGTTTGGTTTTACTCTGCTGTCCTAGATAATCTCAAGAGTATCATTGAACTTTGATAAATAAGTGCATGCTCTTCCCCCAATCTGTGACACAATCAAAGTCACTTTACAGTTATCTTTTTCCCTTGAGGCTTTAAATATTAAATTCTGTATGCACTTTATGGAAGAAATTCTAGACACTTAAAATACCTTTTAACTAAACTCTTTAACTTCTTTGTTTCATTACAAAGTATAGGAAATAAATTTTTCTGGCTTTGTCTCACTAAGAAATATGCTAATGACTGTGAGTAAGAATAAAAATGAAACACTATCATTTTTCAGAGCTAAATTCTGCATCATTTCAAGTCTTACAGAGATTCTCCTAGATGTAGGTGGACAATAATATTTAAATTTTCAAATATTTCTATGTTTTACAAGAATCCAAGAAAATGTACGTTCAGTCATCATAACTTAAATGGGAAAGTCAGTTAAATAAACTTCTGATATCTAAATTAACTTCCACACATCCTCTTAGTTGGTGTGGGTTTGTAGCAGTGTAAATCAGGAGTGGACTTGTTTAAAAAAAATATTTGACTTTGCCATCAGTTATGTTAAGATATAATCAACTTTCCTAAAGTAACATACAGTAAAAAGTTTAAATTTATTTGGTGAGAATGAGATTAAATTGTTGTGATATATCTTCTGACTGTAGGCATTGAGATGACATATGAAAACAAAGAAGAGGAAGCAGGATCAGAGAACAAACAGAAAGGAGACCAAAAAATGCAACATAGAGACTCTCCAGTGAAAGGTATTATAATAGAAGACCATCAGAAGGAAAGCACTCAGGATGAGATCTGTAACGGTGAATCTATCGTATCTCTGGAACAGGAATCCACAGATAATCTTTCTGACAATGACAGAGTGCCCAAAGCTACCATTTGTCCTGACTGTGGGAAGAGCTTTAGTAACAGCTCTCACCTAATCCGTCACCGTCGCGTCCATACAGGTGAGAAACCATACAAATGCCCCCATTGTGATAAAAGTTACCGCCAAGACTCTCACTTAGTTCAGCATATGCGTTCTCATACAGGTGAGAAGCCATACCGGTGCACACATTGCGGCAAGGGCTTCTCACAGAGTTCCAATCTCATCATCCACCAACGGACTCATACAGGCGAACGACCCTTCACCTGTCCAGAGTGTGGGCGGAGCTTCAGCCATAGTTCTGATCTCATTCAGCACAAGCGGATACACACCGGGGAGAAGCCTTACGTCTGCTCCATCTGTGGAAAATGCTTTTCTCAGAGCTCAAAGGTTACCCAACACAAACGCTTCCATTCTGGGGAACGTCCATTTTCCTGTGGGGAGTGTACCAAAACTTTTCGTCTCCGGGCTGATTTAGTCCGTCACCTCCGTGCTCATACCGGAGAGCGGCCTTTTGGCTGTCCTGAGTGTGGGAAACATTTTGCGGAGAGCTCCCATCTGATCCGTCACCAGAGGATCCACATGAGTGAGCGTCCCTTTCGTTGTCCAGACTGTGGGAAAGGATTCAATCAGAGCTCCAACCTCCAGCAGCATCAGCGGGTCCACCGGGGCCAGAAACCCTTCAAATGTGATGAGTGTGGGAAAGGTTTTGGCGTAAGCTCGGCACTCTTGCAACACCAGCGCACTCACACAGGTGAACGACCCTACTGCTGCAGCCAGTGTGGGAAGAGTTTCAGTGTCAGCTCCACCTACCATATACACCAGCGTATTCATGCAGGACAAAAGCCCTATGCATGTGCGGACTGTGGGAAAGGGTTTGTGCGTAGTTCAGCTCTCCTTCAGCATCAAGCCACTCACACCGGTGAGAAGCCCTTTCGATGTCCCTATTGTGGAAGAGGGTTTGGACAGAAATCGGCACTTTCTCAGCATCGGCGAGCCCATGTGAGGAGAGGGGAGACATTGACTTTGATAGAAGGATGGGAAACGGCTGGGATGGAAGAGGTCGGGGACCAGGGAGTGGGAGAGGAAGCAGACCACCTGTGGCAAAGGAATGGAATAGGGATTATGGAGCCCGAATGGCAGGGTGTTGGGGATGAGGCCACAAGGCAGGAATGGGGGGATGACGGGGATGAGGCCATGAGGGTGGAGTGGCAGGATGATGTTGACGAGTTGCCACAGTTGCAGGAGGATGGCAGAGAAAGCACGAGGCAGATCTGGAAAGATGGTGTGGAATCCTCCACGGGGACCGAGTGGCAGGACGAGGAGGATGAACAACTGGAACAGGGATCACAGGGGGATTGTACTGAAAGCATGAGGCTAGAATGTCAGGAGGACGATGACGATGATGATGATGACAATGATGATGACTTTAGGAGGGTGGAGGAGAGTTTCCAGGACGGCAATCTGAGTATGAGACTAGAGTGTCACGATGATGATGATGACGATGGTGAAAGCGTAGAAGAGTACATACAAGATGGCAGTAATTCAGACATGAGGGGAAAAGGTCAGGACGAGATCACAAAGCACGGCTGGCAGGATGATGGAGGTGAAAGCATGAGGGAAGAATGGGAGACTACTTTAGATCATTTAAGGCAGGAGAAATTAATTGAGGAAGAAGAGTGGCAGGACAGCGAAGGGGATAGTGAGAAGCAAAGTTGGCTAGGCAAAGGGGAGGACAGCTTGGAGAGAACAAGGAAGAAGTCGGAGACTGAGTCACCCTACTGAAGTTGGGGAGCTTAAGGAATTGAAACGATTGACTGGCATAGAGTAGAAGAGAGTAGAAGGCCTACAATGCTCAAAATAGCTCAAACCAGCAAGTCATCAAAAGTCATTGTGGACAAACAGCAGAACCCTACCTAGATGCAAAGCTGTCATGTCCTTCTGCAACAAATATTTGTCGTATTTGTTGTATTTATATTTGTAGGCTATTCTGTGGTGTCTGCTCCCTCACTCCAGTCCCTGCATGCCTGTGCTACAGAGCGCTGTGTGGTGGCTGCCTTATGGTCAAGCTATACGATCCGGCTCCCTGTATCATTCCAAGCCTTGTGCCCTTTGCTGATCAAAATAATTTCCAAAGGGTGATTTTATTCGGTCTGTTTTTAAACAGTACTCTACCTAAGTACATGATGTATTATACTTCCCAATCCAGCCCATGTTTTGTTAAAAAAAAAAGTTTCACAACACTTCCGAGGTAAGACATCTTTTTTTATAAATAAGTGGGTGCCTTTCCTTACAGTGGCAATTCTTGCTGGATTCGAGGAGTTGATTTGGGAGAAATCTTCCTTCAATTCAGTCTATAAGCTTTGAAGTTATTGACTTAGGAGGTTGGGATTCGGGGATGGGGCAAAAAAGATAATATCGTCGTTTTATTTTCACAGTTGTTACTTAGGAACCCAGCAGAATGTGGGGACACTGTAAGACTCCAGTATTTAACTAGAACAGCTTTTGAAAACTTCTGTTGCATGCTCTGAATCTCTCCCAACTGTAGTTATTTTTGTAACGTTCTAATCCTCTCTTTTCTGTGTCTCCTTCTGCTGAACTAATAAATGCTCTTTTTGATTCTACTCAAGCACCCTGCATTCTTTTAAATTGAGCCAGGATTATTACTCAACATACTTCAAATCAGTTTCAAGATGCTTGCATATAATTTGCATATATACTGATGCTTAACCTTGGGTTCCCCCCCCCCCAAGAAGCAGCACAACAAACCTGTTTTCAGAGTTAGGAAATTTCATTAGTGATTTGTGATATATGGAGATTCTGGATATGTGTATTTTTTTTTTGTTCTGGAAAATTGATTTCACTTATTAAAGTAAAAATTATCTAAAACAGCCATTTATTTTGACCACCATCTGTGAAAATGTTCAGTACCGTAATTTTACTTTTTCACATTACGGTTAAAGACTTTCTGAAAAAGTTACATTATGGCAAATACATTGCTAAAATGTATATTTAACAAGACCCCTATTGTAATATGGTGAGGAAAGAGAAATTTAACAAAATTTCCCAAAATACTTAAGCACAGACTAAAAATAAGTGCAAAAGTGATCAATGAAAAATTCAGACAATCCCAGAGTTTGAAAGTCGTGTAAGTTTGATGCCACACACACTGCCTATTTTTTGTTTTAAGTTGCATCCTAACTTACACATTCTGTTCTGCTCCAAATTTTCTGATGACAGAATACTTTACTATTTCCAAGGGCTTAGCCAGCAACAGATTGTCATTTGTTACCCTTCATGTTTTTTTTGTTTCAATGTTTGGGGGTGGATGTTCCCATCCCTTATTACGTTCCCATCCCATAGTAAACTTGGGAAGAAATATAAATCAAATCAAGAGTATTTAGAGACATCCTACAGGGCCAAAATGGTGCTTAAGATGGTGAAGCTCTTGACCAGGATCCAAGCCATTCTGTTTTCTCTCCTCTCACTCTTGAGGGTTTTAGACTCCGGTAAGAAAGCTGAAGTGGTAAGCTGGTGATTGGCTCTATGGAGTAGAGAGTTGGTCTCTGACAGAAGGCCACCTGAAGAGACTAGAAGCATTTGAAATGTGGATTTACAGGTGGCTGTTACGTATAAGCTGGGTTGACAAGATCAGAAATGAGGAGGCGATAAGCCGCCTGGGAAAGCCAAGGGAAATCATCAAAACAATTAAAAAATGAAAATTAGAATATTTCGGACATGTGATGCGACACCCAGAAAAATACGGCATACTCCATTTAATCCTCCAGGGAAAGATGGAAGGCAAACGAGGTCCAGGCAGAAGAAGAACATCGTGGCTTCAAAATCTAAGGGACTGGTTTGGACAAAACTCAGCAGCACTTTTTCGTGAGGCTGCTGATAAAAACATGATCGCCAACGTCCGATAACGGATATGGCACAAGAAGAAGAAGAAGAAAAATGTCCAAGGGGAATTAATGTGGTGGAATGTAGTCTGGATTCCCAGGAGGGAGGGGCCACATTCCAGAGGACCAAGAGACGACAAAGTTTAGATAGTTTGATTGGGAGGACGAGGCTCAAGGCAACTCCACCTTAAAAGTTCTCAAAGTATATCTTTATTGATGCTAGTAGTTTGCTTTAGTTTGGCAAGATTTCTGTCCATAGGTGAGGAACAATAAAGGAAACTGTTTTGGAGTAACTCGGCACATCTTTCTTGGTTTTGGAGCCTGACATTGATTTATCTAATGGTCTGTAGGTAGTTACTGTCCAGAATTCCAGAACATTTCTTTCATCCCTTGCCAAGTGGGGGAAGGTAGGATTGGCCCAATTCCCCTTTTAAGCCTTACCCATTTCTTAACGTGCAACCGATAAGAGGAACAAAGGCCAAAATCCAGAATCCAAAAGGCTGCTATTCTCTAGAAAAGAATCTTAAAACAGTTAGGCACACAAAACAGCTGATTTGTCTCAGATCAAGGGACTAGCAGAGAACACAGACAAACACATTGGTCTGCCTGCATCTTGTTCTGGTCATCTCATCATGTGTATCTGTCACCTGCTCCTGCAAACATCTATTATGGCTCTTTTTCTAAGACGGTCAGTAGAAGGACTTGAAATAAATGCCATGATAGCTTCTTTTTTTCTTTTTTAAAAGGGAAAAGGAAGTCTTCATTACCAGCACCACAAAAGTTTCCTGTTTTTTTTTCTTCTTCTTCTTTTTTTACACACTGAGCATTTATAACAAATAGCCTGGCTGCAGTCTCTGGAGAGGAACACGATTTGATCATTGGCTCTCGTTTTCATTACTCAATGGTTCCGTAAGGAGTTTGCTTTCATACTCATTCTCGGTTGCTGTCTTAGAACCATCCTCCTTTGCCCCATCCTCTAGATTGTCCGCTGCTTGTAAGCCATTCTCATTTTCTCCTTGAAGTTCTATTTTCTGTTTATAATTTCGTTTGAAGAACCCACACTGCAATGCAAAGTAAGAAAAACCATTAGAAGCAGAAATTAGACAGGGAGACTCAGCCTGAGCTTAACGATGTTGAATTGGTAAGGAAAGCCAGTTTGATCTAGTGGTTAACGTGCCAGGCTAGAAAGCGGGAGATTCTAGTTCTACCTTAGCCAGGAAAGCCAGCTGGGTGACTTTGGGCCAGTCCCTTTCTCTTAGTCCAAGTCACCTCATGAAGGAGGAAGATGTATTGAATATGTTCGCCACCTTGAATTATTTGTAAAAATAATAGAAGTGGGATACAAATAAATAGATAAAAACATGTCTTGCCTTCCAGCCATCTTTCATTTTTACAGCCTCAATTTTTAATACTGGATGAACATTAAATATAGTTCATAGTTAAGTAAGTCAAATGGTAGAGCAGCTAGATCAGATTTAAATCTGAACAATCTTAATAATTTAAGAATTCCAATCATTCTTTCTTGGAGCTGTGAAACAATTTGCCATGCTAGAGTTATCAACAATAATTAGTAACAATTGGGAAATTATCCCTCTCAGTGATACAATCCACATTTTGCAAACAAAAGATCCTAGGCTTAATTTCTGACATCTCAAAATAATGTTCAGAAATAATCCTAGCTGAAACTGTAGCCTGACAATATACTTCGGACATTATAAAGTAGTATTGGATGAATTGAATAATTTTTGGATGTTAGCAATGCTAGTTTGAAATATTACTGATCAAATCTTTTTTTAATTCAACTGACCAGGAAGAGCCCAACTCTCAGTTCCTCAAAATCGCTCTAGATTTTTGAAATAAAGTAATCTTACCTTCCAAAGTCCTACAATGCAGAGAATAAGCAAGAGCAAGCCTCCAAAGACACTGCCTATTATAATTGGGAGATAATTCATCGTGATTATCACCTCTACTTCTGTGACCTGTAGGGCATATAAAAGAAAGGCACAAAGTCACAATCATATCTTTACAGCCTGGGACACCCTTTAAATAAACATTTAAGATTGGCAACTGGCCATCTTTTCTCCATCGAATTTTTATTAAGTAGTTGCTTTAAATAATAATAACAGCTAGCAGAGCAAGTTTCTTATCCTCCCTCCTGTTCAGCTGGAGATTTTGATAATGCAAACTTTTATTACCTCATAACATTTTCCCTTCCGTTTTCCTCCTTAATTTATTATTACTTTGCCTTTCAATCCACTCAAAATGGCTAACACTCTTGAAAAAGCAATTAAAATCCCCCAAAATACCAATTCCAGAAGTGTGCTGAACATATTTTGTAATAATGTCTTGATAAGGAGATTTGGAGGATCTTGACTATTTATCCAATTGTTTGTGTTTTGGGTTGGTTCTAACAAAACCTACTTGCAAATTAGATTTTGGATTGTATTTGAAGGGATGATATGGCTTATTTAATACAGGAGGTAAAATTAGTAGATTGCATCAAAGCTGTTCTAAAAATCATGGGACTTAGGGTTTGTAGCCAGTTTGATCAGTTGACCATATTGTAGTAAAGAAAAATGTTCAATAAATTTAAAAGTGTTCTGCAACCTTTCTGTGAACTTCCTGAATGGTTCTAAGAAACTCCAGCCTAAATAAAATAGATGGATTGATTGGAGGAACATTATAGTAGAAGAGATAACAATACTATAAGAATATAGAAAATTCTTAGAGAAGGAGAGAAAGAAATAACTTCAGTCACAAACCCACCTGAACCTGGGCAAATTCATGACCATAGAAATTTTTATATCTTCCGGTATCAAATTCAACCCACAAGGCTGTGCAAAGCTTGGTTTGAAGAGAGTGCTAACAAGATAAAAAGGATAATGAAGTTTACATTGCATCAGGCAGCATAAATCATATGATGAATATGCCAGTTTTTTTAAAGACAAGTCATTTGCTTTCAAGCACATGTGGGTGCAAGAACTAAGTTCAAAGTCTTTGTGAGATTAAGTAGCCCGCCCAATAATGTCTGCATCTGCTTGAGGTTTTTAATTATAAACGTTGTAGGTGGAAAGCCATGTTAGTTTATGATGTCCCCAAATGGACGCTGGTGGCACCTCTTAAGTAAAAACTGCTAATCATAAGACGTGCAATTTTGTTATGAAGTAACTACAGTCACTTCATCGAATGCAATAATAGATGGAGAGGGGAAAACAAGGTTATTCGAGACGTATTACACGTACTGTGTGAATAGACAATTCTAAGATCACAATTACATTTGTGATCTTCAGAGAAAGCTAGAAAACTTTAATGTGTATAACCATTTGATGTTCAGCAATTTATCACTCAGTTGTGCTGCCGATTGTATTCCTATAGCATGCTAAGCTAAACCAAAAAAATCATAACATGGTGTAGTAGCAGGTTATTTTAAAATCTGGGTAATATGTATGACACCAAGATAGCTAGATTAGACATTTGCTCTGATCACAGACTCTTTCCTAATACCTCATCTCAGTTTATTGTAGGTCTGTAGTTTTTTTTCCTTTGCAAGCTTAATGAATGAATGCCCCTGCCTACTTATTCAGATATTGAATAAATTGGAACTAACATTTATTAGATGGGGGGGAATAAATTTTCCCATTCTCCAGGTTTCAGATTTAAGAGGAATAGGAAAATTCCTCTTATAAATAGAAATCATTGTTATTGACCTGTTTTTACCTCTG